CTGTTTGAATTCACATACTAGGCTTAATTTGACCACTCATATTGTGACTTGTATATTGTTTCAAAAACAATTCTGTAATTACCTTTATTACAAAGCAATTGTGAAAAGACTAAAATAAATTTACAATATAGTTTTTCTGTAGACGTTTTGTCTCCCTCTGGGAACTTTGATTCATTCTTTCTAACAAACCCATGAAAAATGTTATGTATAAAAAGAAATAAGAGGAAAAGAAACTTTTTATATTTGTTTCTTAAAGGTCTGAGAAAAGTTATTTAATTGTATTGGAAGGTTGAAGTCAACTAGAAATATTATAATCATTTTCTTGTTTCCAGATTTAGTGAAAGTGGTGAATCTTCAGGGGAAGTTGAAGTCTAGTAGAAGACAGCCAGCAGAGTTGCATTTTGATTTTAAAGTAAAGTCCATAGGTGCGTTAGCTGTGAAGTATATATATTATTATTATACAAACTAGTTTGTTGTTAAGTCTTTCAAACTGTTGCTCAATAAGCTGGAGTTGTTTGGTAGTTTTAAAGGTGATTATTTAGGTGTATAGCAAATAATTTCAAACTATTTATCATATGTATTTGTTGAAGGTTTTTTTTAATATGTAGCTTAATGGTAAACTAGAATGGGAGTGGATAGTCTTTCAGTTCATTTGTATCTTTTTACTATGTGGTTGTGTTCTCTGTTTATGAATTATTCTTGTTTTCCATCATTGATAAGTTTCTAGTTGGTTGGTTGTTGTATTAATTAGTTGACTCAAAAACTATTGATCTTTGTAACTTAATATATTTAGAGCTTGCATTTCATACATGACATAGGTTGTTTGTTTTTTTAACTTTATAGTTAATTTTTTTATGAACAATCCTGTTTACATTTACCACACAGACTGCATCTTGATGTTTTTTAAGCCTTTATTCTCAAAAAGAATTGTGTGTGGAAATAAGATACTTTATAGAAACAGATGGTTTCATGTATGCAAAGTTTGTGCAAATCCTGGAAAGTTCTGGAAATTTATAATTTAATTTTCAGGTCTGGAAAATCCTTGAAAATGGTAATGTAGCCAAGTTTCTTCAGCAAAAAAAAAACTGCTTTGGTCAAATATTTTAAATCTGTCTCTTATTATCATCAGCTTATTAACTCACTAGAACAAGGCAAATGTGGCTGCTTTCTCAACCTTGAGTGTGTAATTAGAACAGTTCATACAGGAAATAACTATTGCATTAATATTTGTATGGCTAATGTTTCAGTGGATGACCAACCATTTGTTAATGATATGATAAAACTGATGTGTTCAACATTTTACTATGAATGATGCCATGTTGAGATTGATAATGATGAAGCTTGTGCATGTTGTTAATTTCACTGGGGTACCTGACATTCATTTATCTACTTCATGATGACATAATTATAGGCTAAAACATCAGCTTTACTATGATGTAACTGCCTTAAATGAATCAAAAATCTAAGTGAGTGTCAGAAGTTTAAGTTTCCCAGGTGAGCAGTAAGCATGGAAAACTAAGCACTTTGAGTTTGAACAAAAATGCCTCAGTATCAGATTAAATAATACTAAACAATAAGAAACAAACAAGACTATACACTACACAGTCTTTTTATGTTACATGTGAATTAATAGAATAGTTAGTCCAAATCAGTGCTGAGACCAAGAAAGAATACCAAATGGTCCAGATTACAACAATGAACATAAAGTCTTTTAACCTTTGTAAAATAGTTACCTGTATTTCACATTTTACATCATATAGAAACTATGTGGGTTTTTTTAAATCCCTACTTCCCTTACTAGAATTGAAGATTCTTCATCTAGATGATTCCTTGAGAACTTATAATATGCTGTATGTATAGTTGTTACTGTTGATGACAGTTTTTCTCCTGTTTGATTGACATGCAAATCATCATGTAAATTAGTGTTATAGTTACTATTATTTTTGCTGACTCTAATTATCATGTTTATTAATATTTTTTTGCTACAGCCATTTTTTTTTCTGTGTATGTCATGTGTATGTGAGTTACATTCAAAATTTAATTAAACCACTTTTTATCATGATATATGAATAAATTTGGCTTAAAAATGTAGCTGATAATCCAAATTTTAATAGTTTATAAGTTTTAAGTTTGTTATCTTATATGACAGAATTAAAACAAAATTCTGAATTTCCCCTAATATGAGAATTGTGACATTTTCTCTCTAGGCATCTCATCCTCTCTAACTTATTTACTACACCTCCAAGTAGTACGAAATTTAATGAAAATTGCTCATTACAATGTCATCACTCGGGCAAAGCATAATTTTTATAGCCTTTAATCTTATTTAGTTAGAGAACCATAAAATAGAAAATCAGACTCCTCATGCCTCACCCACCTGTCAAATCACAAATTGCCAATAGTTCCCTCTGATGTTTGATACTGCATTTATCCCCAATAGAAACCCAAGATTTTAATCTGTCAAATATCATATTACAGTACATTGTTTTCTGGAGAGAGAATTGTCTATTTTGCTTTCACTTCAACCTGTATTACCATGGGAAATGCATCGATGAGCTTAGCTGAATTTTTAATGGCTCTTGTCGCATAGTTAGTAAGCAAAAAAAAAATTGTGATAGTTATGGAACATTGTCCATTTTTTACATGTGAATATTCTATGTTCTTTGGTGCATTATTTAGTTAAATAAAAAATTATTTAGTGCAATAGTATCATTAGTGAATGTGTGTGTGTGTGTATATATAAAAAATAGGGTTAGCTGTTACTGGCACTCAACTGCATAAAAAAAAAAGACCTGGGTAAGTACTTTATTTCTTGTTTGTCACATGTATTCTCTACTTATTATTATAGAATATATAAAATGAAAAATAAGTAAAATTTTTAGGTTATATTAGGTAAAGTAAATAATAGTCATAATAAAAAAAAGTTTCACAAGGTACACTTGCGAGCAACTTGTGAGTTATATAATTCGATAGGGTAATGTGAGCTGCACGTTTGCCAAGTGATTTACAAATTTTATTTCATGAATATCAGTTAGTCATAGTTCATTGGGCAATAAAACAAAATTTAAGTATAAACAGATGTATACTGTTATGAGTTTAAAACTATTTATAATAAAACAAATCTAGTTTCATGTTACAATATTAATCATTCTAGAAAGAAAAAAAGGGTATATTTTTTTGGTACCTACGAGGCCAGTCAAATCGACTAATCCTTGTATATATAGAGATAATAATGGAGAAAATCCAAAGTTTTACTGAAAAAAAAACGTTTGAAATTTATTTAGAAGGTTTAGGGATTATGAAAATATTTGAAATTTTTCATATAAGAAGAAAAGTATTTTTAATCTTAATATGAAAATCATTTTGTATTTGTAGCAGTCAATGCTTTGACTCCATATATTCGTGGAGAAATATTTAGTAAAAATACTTCATTAACAATTCAGATTTTTTGTCTGCAATTGAATCTTAATGATTACTGAAAGCTTGCGAAATTTCATGAAAATACACAAAACATATTAGAACTTATAGTATGGAAGATTAAAGGTCAATTTGGGGTCACTAACTTGGTCGATTCTATTGAGCCCATAGTGAGAGAATTAATAGTTAATTACAAAATGTGGGAAGGTAGACACTGCCTGTCTTGCAGTGAGTACAGAAAATGGAACACTACAAAGAAAGGACAAGAAAAAAGCCTAAATATTGTGTTGAAAATTGTGAAGAAAGATTTTAAAGCAGAAAATATGAACTTGTGAAAAATAACAAAAATAAATATTTAATTTTGAGAAACTATAGAGTGCTCATGGGTTTTTGGTAGATGAAGGAATTGTTTAACATGGAAGATAAGTGTGAAAAGGTAGTTAATGAAATTAATGATAATGGTCCTGTCATTGAAGTTTCAAGAGGTTCTTTGCAGTGGCCAACTAATTTCGGAGATAATTTGAAACAACTTTTTAAACTAAGAATGGGATTTGTGCAGGTCATCCAAATGTCTATAAACAAATATTTCAATATTGGAAATCCTGAAATCTGAATGGATTTTATCAGGAGGTTCTGGAAAAGTCCTTGAAAGTCTAACTTCTTCATTTCCACATCCCTCGTTTTTATTGACAACAAGCCACATCATTGTACTTAGCTCATTAAAATGATCTCCAGAAAATATGACTTGTAAAGTGGGAAATACACTCATCAGTAACAGGCTTTGAACTATGTGTCCCCATCTGCAAGCCAATAGGGTGTCACATGACTATTAGTGGAATGATATTTTAAGTGTAAAAGAAGGTCAAGACTCATTTTGTGAAAAATCTAAAATCATAAAATTGTTGAAAGGATAAAGAAAATAAACATTTCAGAATTTTCCTAATTCCATATTGAGCTTAAACACTTCAGAAATAATTAACAATCTTTCTAGCCTAAATTCTTCATCGGTTACTGTCTAAATTTAATTAATAAAAAAGAAAAGGGGAGAGAGAGAGATGCAAATCCAAACAGCAGTAATATAACAGAATGAGTTTGCTCCTGAAGGAGAAAGATCCACCTTTCAAAAGTGATCGGGTTATAGGGTTTTTATTCATTTCTATCAAGACTTCTTGAACCTGCATGTTTTTCTTAAATCATGAATAGAGTGAGTATCATAATCATAAGTATCCTGCATGAAATAATCAAATACTTGCCTTTGAACACTGCAAGTCATACTTGATCAGGTCATCCATTATGTATACAATGATCAATCTTGGCCAGGATATTTTGATTGACATTTTGGGCATTTATTACTAAATATTTTAGGAACAATCAGGAGTGTAATTACACTATTTTGATGAATGTTGTTATTATTTATACATGCATTCTTATTAGTCTTTTATTTTGATCTAAAATGAATACACTTCTTCTTTTTACAGATTTAACTAATAATCATCAGACCATGTGATGACTGTGACACATAACAGTGCCCTTGACAACAAATAAAATTATTCCGAACAACTATTGTTTATAATATCATTTAAACTAGTATGTGTTATACTAGAAGTAAATGACTGAACACCACAATGAAATACAATTTTGATATTGACTTAAGTTTTTACGTTCTTTAAATTCTTTATTAGGTGGAATTGCAACAGTAAACTGAGATAACATTTATAAATAATGGAGTCCAATTCTATGGGAAATCATAAGGTATATTGGGTGAAAGAAATATATTGTCGTTTTTACTTTGCAGCAAGTACAGCCATCAAATTCTTCATGCTTTAACACATGGGTGTAAACTCCTACAATTTAAACCATTTTAATTGCATAATTGTGACAGTGTTTATATACAATTACATGCTTTTACATTCTGTAATATTTATTTTTAAGCATGTCTCCATCATTTTTTATAAAAAGCTTTGTATGCTTGTTAGTTCTAGTATTTTGAAACTGCAATTTAAACAAACTTCCTTATTGTAATACTTAATAATTATTTAGTAGATTTGAGTTAATGCTGATACTTTTTGTAACTCTTGTGATAATGACATTGTGGTTTGTTGTTTTGGGGCACTGAGAAATAGGAAATTCCATTTTGGAATTTTGTTTTTGATAAAGTGTACAAAACCTGTGGATGGCCTTTAAGGTCTTTCAGGTTATCTAAGCACTGCATTAAATGAGTGGGAATATTAGGAGCAATGTTTTATGATGAGCCACTTAACCAGTAGTTATTCAGACATTCATTGTGCCCTTGCCTACAGGTTTTTGTCAATTAATCTGGGAGATCTTGATTTTCACATTTATTTGGCATTTAGAATCTTGTACATCCATTTATAATTAGACACAATCTTGTGTGATCTTCATTGTATATTTGTGTTGTCGTATGCATATTATTCACATATTTACCTGCCTCTATTTACATTTACACCCATTTCTGGGTGTGATAAATTTCAAGCAGGTTTTTGGTTTGTTACACAGACTTATCACTGTACTCTTGTCATCTGAAGATCATGAAACTAAATTCAAAATTATAAAACAAATTGCTGTTAACAGTGGTTATACAACAAAGTTAATTAACACATTGCTGCTTGAAAAATTGAAAGCTAAAAATTTAAAATCAGTATTCCCACATATTGTACCAAATGACAACAAAAAGAAAAAGAAATGGTTGAAGATGAGTTACATTGCAAAACCTTCTCACAAAATATATAACACACTGAACAAAGAAATCTACAGAATGGCCTTCTACTGTAAATACAACCTAGAAAAAATGTTGTGTAACAACAAATACAGAATCAAAAAGTACAGCAACTGTGCTTATGTATAGATAAGTCAAACAGGACGTTCCATAGAAACAAGAATTAAAAAACACACTAGAAGCTGTAAATTAAGAAAATTGGATTCAGTCTTTGCATCCCACCGTATTGAAAACACCAATTTGATCCAGAAAAAAAACTGCAAAATTTTACATATCTGTAAAGAAGGGTAAAAAAATTAGTCTGGGAATTTTAGAAATAAATAGATGTCTAAAAACAAATCCAGAAAAAATTCTGAATGACCAAACCAACTTCAGCTCCTCCCCTCTTCTTACCCACTTGTCTCTAGGTGAATGTCAAGGTCACTTCTGGTTCTTTGTTTAAACATATATATATAAACCCTGTTACTAAACATTTCAATTTGTACCTGATGATGTATTTGTGAAATGTACAATACAATTGTCTTGTTTTTTCCCCAATTCTGCAATTGGGATTATTTGCTAAACTCAAAAATGTAGGTGACTGAATGCATTTAAAAATTGGATTTGTTTTATTGTGGAAGAAGTCATAAACTTTTGAAAGAGCTCGGATTATTGAATTTCTTTAACCCTTTCGCAACAGGTTCGATATAAAATAACGAGTCTATATACACATTTGCACTCGTTAAGCATTTATACTATAACTTTTAATACAGTATGCGTATCTTCACAAAATTTGGTTGACTTTTGGGAAACATTAGAAGTTTTTTGTACACAAAAAATCAGATTTTTTAAGGAATTATTTTTATTAAAGATTTGTTAGTGAATATATTGAGTCTGTTTCGTTACTAGTCCGAGTGCAAAATGATTTTCATGTTATGGTTTAAAATACTATCCTTCATCCCAAAAACCTCAAATTTCATTTGCATGATCTCTAAAACCTCCTAAATACATTTCAAACATTTGTTTTCAGTGAAACTTTATAATATTTTTTGTGTTTTTTTTCTATACCCTAACTCTCTACAAGGTTGGTAAATTTGACCGACCTCGTAACCACAAAAACCATTGAAATAAAACTACATTACCCTCTTTTGTATTCTAGAATGACTTCAAATTGTAACACAAATCTACATTTCTTTATCCTAAGTAGCTTTAAACTCATAACAGTATACATCTATTTATACTCAAATTTTATTGGCTTATTGCCCTTTGGACCATGTCTAACTACTATTCGCACCACTATAAATTGTAAACCACTTGGGAGATGTGTGGCTTGTGTTACTCTATCAAATTACATTACTCACGAGCTGCTTGTGTGCATGCCTTGTGAGTTTTTTATTATATTAATATTATTATTCATTGTACCTGATCTAACTTAACTAACCTAAAGAGATTCCTATTTTTACATTTTTCTTACTTTTACTGAGGATGTGCACAGCTGGAATAATGATGTGTGCAGCACTTGATTGGTTGTTGTGCAGCCACACAACTTAGAGGGAACTCTAGTCTTAACACTTAGCTTCAATATCAGCATTTTTAGAATTAACTTGATTAATAACAACTAATCCCTTATCAGGGTTTAGGACCAAATAAAATGATCTGCAACAGGAAAATTATCAAAGATGCAGAATAAAATTTCCACAACATATAACAAAACACAGAACCCAAAAAGGTAATTGTTTGTAAATTAAAACTTTATTTTTCAACTAATTCACTGGGTGGTTTTAATCGGAGAAACTCTCACCTACTAGTTTCTGCTTACTTATTGTGTCTTCCAAAGATTTGACTATGCCTTTTTTTTTTTCATAGCCTGTGTTTCTAATTTTGTTAGCCTCACGAAAAGTGTTCTATTTTGTAATTTTATCCAACCATTTTTTTACATTTTAAACATTAAGTGTTGAAAGTATAAGGGATAAAATCATTAAAATGTTTCAACTTTCACTTAACTTTCTCGCTATAGGCTTGATCAGATTGACTGAATTTGTGACCCCAAATTGACCTTTAAAGTTTGTGTACTATAACTTCTAAAAAGTTTTGTGTATCTTCATGAAATTTTCCAAGCTTTCAGTATGCATTACATGACTTTTGTAGACAAAAAAAAATCACTAAAAAGTTCTACTACATAAATATATGGAATCAAAGTGTTGACTGCTCTAAGTGCAAAGTGATTTTCATGATAAGATTAAAGATATTTTTCTTTATCTGAAAATTGTCAGATTTGTGTAATCTCTACAACCTCCTAAATAAATTTCAAACATTTTTCAGTAAAACTATTTTATCTGTTATTTTCTATACCCTAACTCTACTAGGTCAGTCAAATTATTACAGCTGATTAACCATAAATCATCCTCCTCTTCTTTTTTTTGGATGAAATTAAATCTTTATTTTTTAAGACCAGTTTGGCTGGTTATTCTGTTATCAAAGTTATATAAAGTTCTTGAAAATCTAGTTACGTATGCTTAGTTTTACTTAGTTTCAATTTTTTTTACACTGATGATGATATATACCTGTGATATGACTAAAAGTGCATTTAGTTTTGTAGTCTTGGATTGCTACAATTTGATTTATGGATAAATATATAAATTTCTTAAATGACTTAACATGTATAGTAGAATAATGAGTGTGTTGCTTTATTTTCCAGTTTGTCTAACAGATAGTGTTTTAGCATTTCATGAACATGGAATGCAAGGTCGCAGTTTCAAAGACAACGAAGTAGTTCAAGAAATCAATGACAATACACGGATATTCCGCTTGTTGGGATCAGATAGGTAAAGTTATTTTCTTTTTAAGTTTATATCTATCATACTTGGTATTGCTGATAATGTGATTTGCAATTTATCCCTTATTATTAATGATTAATGTAACTATGTTTGTTGTATGTATCAGTACTAACATTCTGATTATGTATACTGTACCTAACATTACTTATTAAATCTGTGTATTGTACCTGACATTAGTAATTAAGTTTGTCTATTGTACCTGACATAACTGTGTATGGAGTTGGTTCTTTGAACTGAGCTCATATTGGAGAATGAATGTTGACTATAATTCTGAATTTACTATGTGTATCTACATGAAATGTGGCAAGCTTTTAGTAATAAGTACAAGTTTGTTGTGTGCAAAAAAATTGGGTCTGTTACAAAAGTAGTTGTACTCAAGATATGTCTGTGAATTGCTGACATCAGTCATAGTTCAAGTTGACCTTCATGCGAAGAATAAAAATACTTTAGTTCATCATACAGCTTGAATATTGCATTTGTATAATCTCTCGAACCTCCAAAATGCATATCTACAGTTGTTTTCAGTATCCCTGGATACTGTATATTGTATTTACTCTTCTCTACCACAAACTGTTGCTAGACCAGCACTGTAGTGTACAATGAATAGTTGATGACTCTGGGATCAAATATGTAATACCATGGTGAGTGGCATTCTGTAAAAAGTCACAGCATGCTTACTTTGACGCCATTTGTGCAATTGTACCTGACATTACAAATTATATTTGTCTATTGTACCTGACATTACTAATTATATTTGTCTATTGTACCCGACATTACTAATTATATTTGTCTATTGTACCCGACATTACTAATTATATTTGTCTATTGTACCCGACATTACTAATTATATTTGTCTATTGTACCCGACATTACTAATTATATTTGTCTATTGTACCCGACATTACTAATTATATTTGTCTATTGTACCTGACATTACTAATTATATTTGTCTATTGTACGTGACATTACTAATTATCTTTGTCTATTGTACCCAACATTACTAATTATGTTTGTCTATTGTACCCGACATTACTAATTATGTTTGTCTATTGTACCCGACATTACTAATTATGTTTGTCTATTGTACCCGACATTACTAATTATGTTTGTCTATTGTACCCGACATTACTAATTATGTTTGTCTATTGTACCCGACATTACTAATTATGTTTGTCTATTGTACCCGACATTACTAATTATGTTTGTCTATTGTACCCGACATTACTAATTATGTTTGTCTATTGTACCCGACATTACTAATTATGTTTGTCTATTGCACTCGACATTATTAATTACATTTGTCTATTGCACTCGACATTACTAATTGTATTTGTCTATTGTAACTGACATTACTAATTGTATTTGTCTATTGTAACTGACATTACTAATTGTATTTGTCTATTGTAACTGACATTACTAATTGTATTTGTCTATTGTAACTGACATTACTAATTGTATTTGTCTATTGTAACTGACATTACTAATTGTATTTGTCTATTGTAATTGATGTTACCGACTAAAATCTGTATTTTACCTGATGTTACCGACTAAAATCTGTATTCTACCTGATGTTACTGACTAAAAGCTGTTATGGGTGTTCTGATTATTGAGCCTATGCATTAGATTTGACTTTCTGGATGTTCTACTTGAACCTGTCAATCATACATTATATTGTTTATGTTCTGATTATGTGAATCACAACTGTCATTATTACATGTTTACCTCTGAAAATGTACTTTATATCACTGATGTCTTTTGTAGGTATGTATCAAATAGGAAATGTGTGCTCTGTGTCATCTCGAAGAGCATAAGAGTTCCATGTACTTAAGGTTGCTTAAAAACTAATTCAAACTGGTATCTTAAGTTTCCAATTGGTCAGTGTAAGTTAAGCAAGGTTATTTTTATCTGTTTAATAGTGCCCCCAACATACAGACTAATTACTTTTAAAAAGTTGTACAATATTTAAACAGGTAGACAAGTCCAAAATAGAATAATGAAAAGATGTTCTGCAAATAACTGAATTTTACCCTACCGCTGACCAGTGAAAAGACTTCAATTCTGATGTCATTATTGACAAAACTCCTAACATGAAAACCATAAAAGTGAAAAACCTTTTCACAATGAAATGAACTATATAAAATTCAATAAATAAGGAGAAACTGAAACTGTAGCTACTCCCTTCTCATCAGATATTGTTTAATAAGGATGTATATTTTAACACCTTGGAGCTGTTACCTTTCCATTCATTTCAGTTCATGTTTGTGTGAACTGTTTGTTGTAAATATAAACCAGCATTGCATACACTTCTGTCTTCTGTTATAGTTCTATAGCTTCTCTTTTATGAAAAAACAAAAGTTAACCTACACTGACCTCAAACAAGTGATAGTATTTCCTGGTGTCTTCAAACTGTCATAGAAAGCTAAACTCAAAACGTTTACCAAAATTAATCTTTACCTTTCATTTAAATTAGTTTTAAATAAACTGTGTTTGATATAACTATAATATGTTTTTTATATGACATACATGCTATAAAAACACATAACTTATGATGGGAATGATTTTTATTAAATTCATTTTCTCTTGTAGGATAGTGGTGTTAGAAAGTAGGCCTACTGATGAACCCAACACTCCTTCCAACCTGTACATATTAGCTGGTCATGAAAATAGTTACTGAAGACTGTGGTGCCATCTAGTATTGTGGAATTAAACGTTTCATGTAAACCTTTACATAATTGGAATGAGCAACAAAAATATGATTATTTTGTCCATCTTACAGTGAAATCTGCAGTCAGACACTTAGTGGTGGTTAGTGTTGTGTTTATCTATCTTTTGCTGCTTGTTAACAAACAGGATGTGTAACCATATCATAGTAATGTTTAGACTTCTAGAATGTTTAGAAGGAAACTTCTCTTGCCACATAGGTACATGGTTTGTACTGTGGATGACCTAGCTGTGTTTATATACCCTATAGCATGAACACCTTTGTATTTATTTTGCATCTTAATAAACTTGTCCTACATAGTTGATAACCTTTCTTTAAGTCTTAAACCACCTAGTTAGCTGCTTTTTAAACATGGTTTCTGGTTTATATCATCCCTAAGTTGGATTTGACTTTTCAAATCAAATGTGTGTTAGAATATATATCATGTTTATGAATTTATGCTTTATTTTTCAACTGAAAACTCTGTATAAATAAGCACCATGATCTAAAATGTCTACTTCTGAGTTGCACATCCACATTTTCATTTAAGTGTTTTGTAAGTAGATACCATGATTTTAAACCTTTGTTTGTAAGTTACAACCACATATTAAATTGAAAGTATTGTGAAATTAGGTACCATGATACAAAATTTCTGTTCATAAGTTACACCCAAATTTTGAACTGAAACTATTTTGTGAGTAGGTTTGAAAATGAAAGTATTGTGTACATGGGTATGATGATCTGAAATTCTTGTTCATAATGAGTCCCAAAATTTGTAACAAAGTATTGTATGAGTGAGTATGATCTAACTGTAAAATCTCTTTTTTTTTTTTATAAGGTATTCCCAAATGTCTAACTGAATGTATTTTGTGAGCAGGTACCATGCTCTAAAATTTCACTTCATAACTTATTCCAATATTTTTAATTGAAAGTGTTGTGTAAGTAGTTAACATGATCTGCAACATCTACATACAAGCTACATATTCATTTTTATCTGAAAACAATGGGTGAATAGATACCATCAAATAAAATTTCTGTTCATGAGTTACACCCATATTTTAAACTGAAAACAGCATGTGAATGGGTATTATAAAGTCAAATTTCTGTACATACGTCAGTCCTACATTTTTAAACTGAAAGTGTTGCTTAAGTACAATAATTAAACATTTGTGTTCATAAGGCATACCTGTATTAAATTGAAAGTGAGTAGGTACAATGGTTAGAAGATTGGTGCTCTAACGTTGAGTTGAACATGTTGCTAGATGACATGTGTACTTGATTACTGATTTCTCTATTCCTTAGGTTTAATGTACAATATAAAATGGAATTGTTGTTAATGTAAGTAAGATAATTACCATTTTTATTTTTGTTAACATAGGTAATAGGATTTCTGTTCTACTTTTTTGTTAAACTGAAGCTACATGTCATTGAGGCATGCTAATTATAATCTATTTTAAATGGATAATCTGTTTAAATTTACATTAAAATCTTTGAAGCATTAACCTGCTTGGTTTTCCTTGGCACTAGTGAATCATGATAAAAGGAACTTTTTAAGTGTTTTCTAGAAGATGGTTACCATGCATTCAGCGTCTTTCTACGTTTTAAAATGCCTGCATTTTGATAGACATATAAGAATGTAATTTATTTTTGTGTTTATAAAAGATGTATTTTTATTTTATGAAAACTGTATATGTTGTGATTGTTTGTATAATGCTGAAATACTACTTAAGTAAACAAAGGAGATCCTTGAGCTATGAATGTGATAAAGAACAGTTAAGTAGTGTTCTGGATGCTTTAGTAATGATATCAATTTGTGCTTGTGTTTGAACATGATACAACCTAATGTTTAAAGGATAAACATTACATTTCTCATCACTTGAAAAGTATGTGTTTCAAATACTGAAACTGTAATGTGTTAATCACGTGAGAGTGCAACAACAGAAGAATTTTTATTAAGTGAACAGTTGTGAGGTTTTATAAATGTTGCTGCCAAAGTAGTGTGATGCCTTAGAGTGAAGTTTATATTAAACAGTTTATTTTGTAACGAAAATCAATACTCACCTATGCCAATGATTTAAGTTAGAAATACTATATTATATGCCTTGAAGAATTATTTCTGAAACTGATCAAAAACCTTTCTTGATAGTAAAAGATTAATACTATGGTGTGCTTATTGAAAAAAACTATTCATATGTCAATGTCGTATTTATGTTTCATGTTGCATTTAACTGGAGAAGAATGCAAATGCTTGTAGCTTTGGTGTTTCAGTATCTTCATAAAAGATTAATCACTTTATGTTGAATGTATATTTTATTTCTTTTATGATTGTACCAGTTTACATAGGTTAAGCAAACACAATTTATTTTTCAACTTTTGTAGACGTGACATTATTTGATTAAGTGCATGGTTAAGGTTTTAAAATCTACTTTTGCCTTCAGGTCCAAAACCAACTGTTAATAGATTCCAACAGTTATATTAAAAACTTTTCTGTCAAAAATATTCACCCAGTTACTGCTCTGTTATATAAAAAAATTAAACAATAAATTAACTTCTGTTTAGATAACTGGAAGTGTGTTTATTTAGTTGTGTATGAATTTAAGATTTTATATTTTAGGCTTAGTTTGTCCAGCATTTAGAATTTTACTATAGACTTTACGTATCATGATTATTGAGTACTAGTATTAAGTAATTTATGGATGTGTTAGTCTTACTTTGCAAAATATTTTTTGCACCTGAAGTATAAGAGTTTACAAGTAAGGAAATTATTCTAAGACTAGGGATTTTTTGTTTGAAAAAACTTGTAGCTTCTTTACTAAAAATAGTATTTAAATGTGGGCTTTTTTTTCTTTTCAAGCAAGCTGCAATTATAAAAATTATGATTAACAATAAAACTTTAAACATTAACTGACTAATAAATATATTATATTCAAATCTTCTTTACTATTATAGATATTTATTCAATAAGAATTTTGGACTACTAAGTTTATTCTCATTAGGTTATAACTCTTAATTTATTAATATTTATAAAATGCTATAGGTTTTATTTCAATCTTTCCCATACTTAGTTTTGAAGCTCATTTCAGAACCTTCCAATTGTTTCTTAAAGAATAAGAAAACATACTGTTTCTCTAATATTATTCACCAGAGTTAATTAGTATTCATTCTTCTGTCACACTTGTAGTAGTTCAGCCATATTAGATGAACAATAAACTACTTGATTGAAGTTTGATAACTAAGAGAAATATCTGTTACAGAAAGGTTCAGTCACATGCATAGTTGACCATCTGTTGTGTCATCATTTACGGTTGAGAACTTCAAAAATAGTAATGTTTATACATTCTATCAAGAAATGTGGAAAATTGTATTTACAATAATTTATTTGTTTGTGTAGAATACAACTAATGTTTTAGAAAATATTGGTAAAACTTTGAAAAAGTTTCATTTTCTAACACTAACGTATAGGTTTTTTATTACTTGGAGTTTATCTGGAATGGAGTTTCTTAATAAGTACAACCCATTTGAAAATGAGGCTTCTTTATGAAATAAGTATTTCTCACAATTAAAACTTAAATGACAAATGCATTACAAAAAATAAGTGAGTGTATGGAAGGCAAAAATTATGTTTTTCGTTACTGTAAAATTTTGAAATACACAGTAAATTAGAACATTATAGCAAGTGACAATGCACATTCTTACTTGGTTTTTCTCATATCTCATACATAATATGTCTGTTGTTTTTCAAATTTTGAAGAATAATTTACATCAAATCTTTTGTATAAATACCAAAAAATATTAAATAAAAAAAATGTAATTTTCGATGGAGATAACTTTCAAGAGTTAGCAAAACCCAACTAGGTGAAGTAAATGCTATAATTGTGAATATGAATTTCAGAATATGTAGTACCTGTTAGAACTGGGAACAGAAGAAATGTATTAACATTCCTGTGATTACCTGTGGATGTTTCTTTCAGAACATTTAGTATCTGTTAGAGCAAGAAAAAAGTAAAAATGTTAGCACTTACTAGGTTAATTGTAAATGTTTCTCTTAGAATATGTAGTATCTATTGTAACAGGGAACAAGAATATTGACATGTTTTAGATTAAGTTAGAATTTTACTCTCAGAGTATCTAGTATAAGTTGCAAAAGCTACAAAACAATAAACTCATCTGGTTCAACATGAATGTCAATAATTTGACCAATGACTATGAGATAATTTTATTCTGCATTAACTTTCAGGTTGTATATAGGTATCTTTAAAAATATATTTTCAACAAGATAATTTAAATAGTTATACATTAGTAACTTAGTGTTTTTAATGAACAACCATATTAGTTACAAGATGTGTACTCATTATATTTAAAATGTATATGTAAATGCTGATGTAAAGAATAAACTGAATTTTTGCAGATGCAGAGAATTGTTTTGGTTATTTAAGTATGTACTGTCTTTCTGACAACATTGTGTGGGGAATAAGGATTTTCTAACACAAGATTGGTTTAACGTACAACATTTAAAGCTTTTCAGAAAACTTGGGTATTGGTACTTGAGTAAAAATGTATTCATCTAAAGATTTAAGCTGAAGTATATAAATTTATTTTATTTTCAAGAACATTAAATTATTACTAATTGGCAAGTGCACATTTTTGTAGTTATAACTTTTAACGGGTCTGGCATGGCCAGGTGGTTAGGGTGCTCGACTCGCAATCTGAGGGTTGCGGGTTCGAATCCCCGTCCCACCAAACATGCTCGCCCTTTCAGCCGTGGGGGCATTAAAATGTGACGGTCAATCCCACTATTCATTGGTAAAAGAGTATCCCAAAAGTTGGTGGTTGGTGGTGATGACTAGCTACCTTCCCTCTAGTCTTACACTGCTAACTTAGGGACAGCTAGCGCAGATAGCCCTCATGTAGCTTTGTGCAAAATTCAAAACAAACAATAACTTTAACACCAGACACTCAGGAAAAAACAACCATTAGTGTAGAGATTTTATTTTGCTTTTTTTATGAAAATGAAGTCTATTGAACTAGAGTATAAACAAATGTATTCATTGAACATAAGCTTTTTCTGAGTTTTATAATACATTGTTCCATTATTATATTAAAAAAAAAAACATTTGGCATTCTCATTGAATGAAATCCTGTAGTTTTGGGGGAAGAACTTGTTAATTCAATACATGTTTACAACATTTCTGTTGTTATCAATTCTGCAAAATCTCATAATACTTAGCATATAAATTTATTATGCAACAATAACTTTCAATTAATTTTTATAGTATTTTGTGTTTATAACATCAGTTTTTATTGAATTTAAGGCACATACAAATTTACTGAAATGTTCTCCTAGTATTTTCTTTGTTTAACCAAACGTTAGAAAAATAGGAATCAACTGCTGTTTGAATGAGGTTATTACATAACACAGTTTTTCTTCTATTAAAGACTGTTAGATAGTTCTAAATACTTTTAACTAATTTTAATTTGGTTTATCTGATATTGTGTATTACTTGTATTTTTATTTATTAAAGCTCCATTAAAGACTGTTTAGGGTAGCTTGAACTATAGTATACTATGGTCTTGTATAGAATTATTTTGAATATGCTAATTTACACCTAGATGTACATTATTTTTCAGAATGTTCTTATATTTAATATAGCTCTTTCATATTATAATATGAAATTTATAAAAGCCCATTGTACTGTAGCTCAGAAATTATTTTCTGACACACTTGCAGAAGTGTGTGGAAAACGAATAAAACAGAGATACGTAATAAAAACTAAAAGGATAAAATATTGAAAACATTAAACATGGATCAAGTTGTATATTAGAGTAAATTACAATGACAATCCTGTAAACTGAAGGAAAGAAAGATAATAAGGTTTTTTTATTTGTTTTATTCATATGATTACTCAGCACATTTGTTTTGAAAAATTTTTTAAATCTAAAGGTGTAGTCTTAACTGATAAAACAAACAGCAACATTCACAGACTTCATTTGCACAAAAGGAGTTAATTTGACATAAAAATGCAGGTGCACTTTGATAGAGAACATAGCTATAGTCTGTCTTAGAAAAAAGAAATTGTCAGTAAAAAAGAATTGTGGTTGGGCTATCAGCTCCTCAGTAAAAGCCAGGAATAACCGGCTGAAGAAATAAATCTTGATGACTGCTATCAACAAGACTCAAAATGTAAAGTACCAAACTAAAGTGACAATTGAGAGAGGATCCAGAGTTATGATATTCAAACACTTGCTGCATGTGTGGTAAGGTGGTTACAGTAACCTTGACCCAGGTGTAACTTATGTTTTGTGAAAACAAGAATATTGCATTTCAGTGGTACATGTCAACCTCATATCAAAAATTCATATTATTTATTTTAATTAAATTTCTTTGGAGAATAAAACAGACTATGTTGAACAGTGCTGATGGTCTTTTAGTCATGTGGGAACAATTGGCAAAAATGTTAGTAGAATAATTCTACTCAAAAAAAGGATTCCAAACAGGACAATGTGTCCTTATTGATCAGTTCATTCAAC